TAAAAATACAAAAAATTAGCTGGGCATGGTGGCACGTGCCTGTAATCCCAGCTACTCAGGAGGCTGAGGCAGGAGAATTACCTGAACCCAAGAGGTGGAGGTTGCGGTGAACCGAGATCGTGCCATTGCACTCCGGCCTGGGTAACAAGAGCGAAAGTCCATCTCAAAAAAAAAAAAAAAAAAAAAAAAGAGGCTTGATCACAAGAAAGCCATTCACTGCTCTCTTGCCTTCATGGACACTGGCCTTTAGAACCCAACCACCACGCTGTGAGGAAGCCCAAACCAGCCAGGCAGAGAGACCACACTGGGAAGCCCCATATAGATGTTCTGGCCAACTGAGCCCAGCAGAGACCCTAATCTACAGTATCCACTACCAGGCGTGTTGAGTAGAGATACCTCCAGATGATTCCAGCACCAAGCTTTTGAATCTTTCCAAGTGAGGAACCCCAGACATGTGGAACAGAAATAAGCCGTCCTTGCCATGAACTGTCTGAATGACTCAGAGACTATGAGCATTGTTTAATGATTGTTCTATCCAGCTTAGTTCTGGGCATAGCAATAGTAACTGCAAAAATATCTTTAAGTCTCCCAGACCAGAGAAGCTCTGTTATAGTATCCTGACAACAAATCTCTAGTCTTAATCCATGACAGAGGAGAAGAAAATGCCAGCCATTTGGGCTCAGAATCTAACAACTTCTTTAATATACTTTCAGTGAAGCTTATCTTCTGCTAAATGTTTTCTCTCCTTTCCCTTCTGCCAGCTCAGGACTCCACTTCCTTGGCCTCTAAGGTCCCTCCTTTCGTTTCCCAGCTTCCGGGATTTTGTTGCTGTAGTCTTCTCTTCCATTTCTTTTTCCTAAGAGTTTATGCTTTTTAAAAAACCATCTTTGATATATTAATTGAATTTGTAGAGGAAATGGAATTAAATGCACATGTTCAATTTACTGTCTCCAATTAGAATTTTACCTAGAACTTTTATATCTTTTCTGGATGTTATGACTCTGTTTTCTTTTGTTTTTTAATGAAAATCAATTACTCAAGAGTACTGGATGCAAGAAGGCTTGTGCTTCATTGAAAACAGCAACAACAACAAAAACCTTTACACCCACTATCTTTGTTCAAGTCTTTTCGTTCTTTGAGATTTGTCTAAACACATGTGAGTGTGAAAGCTCCCCCTTTCTCTAATTCCAGTCATCACCAAAGAGCTTTTGTGTATGGTCTGTGTTGCATATTCATAAGAAGTTATAAAAACACAGACTCAATTCTGAAGGAGAAGACAACTTAAAGACAGAAAAGAATGTAGAGAAAACACAAAGACTGTTAAAGAGATGCCATCATTGTAAATAATAAGTAGATTAGATGATATATTTACAGATTGAATGAGCTAAGAGTTGAGTAGGTGGTGTAGGCCATGGAGTCAAGACAGTCTGAGGTTTTTTGCTGTGGTCACAGCTGTTACCACTTAACAGGACCACTGACATGTCCCTTTTCACCCTGGATGACGGCCTTGAAGCTGCTGTTTCTGCTGTTGGACTCTTCGGCAGTGGGAGACTTTTCCTCTCCTGTTTGCTCTGCCTTTGCAGAAAAGAGAAAACACTTCTTCCTGCGGTACAACCCTCCCAACCTCTCCGCTGAGTCAGACTTTCTGTTACTTGCTGCAGGCCTGCCTCAATGTCTCCGCTGGATGGCTGCAAAGGGCTACACAGAGAAACCATTCTCCACAGTTAACCGGCACCTCCATCCCCGACTTCTAGACCTGCTAGTAGTGGACAGTCACTCTGCTATTTCCCCACCACATTCCAACTCATTCCAAACTCTACTTCTGTGCTATGTGGGAGCCTGTCTTTCTCATTCTCTTTGGGAAAAAATAATCATACACACACACACACACACACACACACACACACACACTTTTTTTGTTTCAAAAGGGTCAGGTCGCCTGAAGTAGCTTTTTATGTGATAACCCTAGCCAATGAATGATCAAGCATCCTGTGATCATGTAAAAACCATGCCTATTAATTCACAAGTGTTTACCTTAACCGATATGAGGTTGATAGTCCTTAGAAAATTGTATGTGTTCAAGTATTTAGTTTTTTAATATAAGCTTGAAATTTCTTTAAGTATAACCTTAAACTAGTGTCATTTATTTTAAAATAGTATATAAAAGCATTTTTATGTACTAAATAAATAATATATAAAAGCATTTTTAAAGTTATATGCATCTGTGAGCATCTATCTATACAAATACTTTCATGCAGGTTAGGGTATTTATTTGTTTAATCAAAAGTCTAAATAGCTTAAGGAGTATGAAAATAGTGAAAACACCAAAGAAGAAATGCTGAAGTGAGAGGCAAATGGGCTGATAACCAAAATGAAACCCAAAGACTGTGACGACAAAGAAGGAAACACATCAGAAAACAGAAAGAGTGAAATGCCAAAAAAACTAATCAAATAGAAGCATCTAGTGAAATCACTGACAAACCATAGTGAAGAAAGAAGAGTGTGATAGGAACTCTGCTGACTTTCTGTAAACTTTCACACTGGCCTCACACCACACGTCTCTTGTTTCATCTGACACGACTGCACTTCCCAGAGGCAGACAAGGCAGTTCAGTACACGTTTCACACTTTTGCAGTCACCATCGACAAATTAAAGAAGTATATTTATGAAATAGAATCTGCTTATGTCTCTAAAACCTATTTTTATTCACAGTTATATGCTAACCTCAATAATTAAAACCCCTGTAATCCCAGTATTTTGGGAGGGTGAGGTGAGTGGATCACTTGAGGCTAGGCATTTGAGACCAGCCTGGACAACATAGCAAAACCCCATCTCTATAAACAATACAAAAATTATCCAGGCATGGTGGGGCATTCCTGTAATCCCAGCTGCTCAAGAGACTGAGACACGATAATCACTTGAACCCAGGAGGCAGAGGTTGCAATGAACCGAGATCACACCACTGCACTCCAGCCTGGGTGACAGAGGAAGACTCTGTCTTAAAAATAATAACCCCATTTAATACAGTGGCTAAGAAAACTGTAATTGTACAACATTATGTTCAAATGACAAATATAAGGGAATAATTACAATTTAATGATATTTTTCTTAATACGTTTAAAATCCTTTGGTTCAAGTTTGTTACTCCAAAGAAAATGTAACTATTTTCAAGTAAACCATGACAGTTCTTCTTAAACTCTTTTCTAATTCCCATTCCTTCTTTTCAGAGGCAACCACTGTTAGGTACTTAATTCATTATATAATCAGGCCTATGTACTTCGAGTCTTTTTTACGCATTTTGATATGGATTGGCTGTGTCCCCACCCAAATCTCATCTTGAATTGTAGTTTCCCACAGCTCTGTTCTTTGCCAATTATTTGCAGGTACCTCCTTCTCATCATCTCATCTCTGTATTTCTGACTTCTCTTTTGTTTCTGCCTCATTTGTCATGTCCCCAGAATTCCCAATGAGGAATTCTACATCACCTGGGAAGATGGACTCTGCATCACCAGAAACGGGCCTAAGCAGCACAGAAATGTTAGCGCTCTCATAATGTCTCCAGCATCACCATTTAGAGCAACGTGGATAAAGGCAGTTGCTCCACACAGACTCAAGCAAATCATCCTCTGGGCCCCACCAGCTGGGGTTTATTTAGGAGGCTGGTATTCCAAACAGAAGCTCCACTCACTTCATCTCTTCTTCAGGCTTCAGAGGATGCCAGACACAGGTGGCAGACACATACCCTATGCCATGGCTGAAGTCCTGAGTAAGCTTGTTAATCAAAGGTTCTCCAGCTTCCTCTAACAACAGGGGTGTGTTGAATAAAACTCCCAGTCAACTGTTGGCTCTGCCTCCTTGAAAGGAAAGCAGTGAAACAGGAAAGGCATCCAGCCGAGATAAAAGCTAAACTAACAAATGATAGCATTTCTAAAACAAATCATTGGACTTGAATGCACTGGAATGAAATAGAAGAGGAGGGAGTGTCAGAGAAGAGCACAGGACGAACCCAGACTTCTGGTCAACAGAAGGCAGCGGGCTGACAGAAGACCTTGATATAAGATGTAGGTCTTTCTGACAGTTTTCCCAGGAAGCTGCCCTGCCTATGTTATTCTACCCTTCCTGTTTGCTTCTTATTTCCTGTCTTCTTCACAAGGTGCAGGCTGAAAGGACATGTTAGGCTGTCATTCTAGGCTGATCATTATTTTCACTGCTCTGTTTAAGAAAACAGTCTATTGGGGAGAAACACGGCGTTGTTTGAGAAGAAATAGCCTCATCATTTTAGCATGGACAAGGGGTAGTGAGAAATGATGATCCAATGTGATGATGGAAAGCTTTGGGTGGTAGAGATAGGATCGTGCCCAGGCCTTTTAGGTCACAGTCTTGCTCCTACATCAAGGTGACCTCTGAGTTGCTGTGCTGTGTAAGTATTGATAGGCCACTGGAGAGTGCAGAAGAAAACCATCCCAGTGCCTGCTTTCTTAGTACCTTCTCTGTGCCAGGCATTACGGTATCTTGGAAGGGGCATAAAGATAAGCAAGACATCCTTGTTCCCCCAGGGGCACATTATTCAGCTGAAGTAATGGAAAATCAGGAGCATGTGACTCATTTGAAGAGTGTCAGCAGGATTTGGTGACTGTCTTCCTTAAAACTCTTTTGATTTCAAGGATGAGCTTTACCTAACATTTGGTTGGGGGAGAGTACTATTGGTGCTACATCATGGAAAAATTAAGTATTGTAAAGGGCAGTAATACAGTGGAGTCTCAGGGTCAATGGAAACCGAGAACTTGAATACTACCACGAACTCGTTTTTCATCTTAAGCAACTTCATCCTTCTTTATTCTTTCCCTGTTGATTATCCTCTATTTCTCTAGTAGAGCATTCAATAGAATTCAGCTATTAGAGAAATTATTATTGTCCTTTCTTTATTCCAAGTCTAAAAGTCCTAGGAGGAATCTCATTGATCCATCTTGATTTGTGTTCCCTCTGTGATCAACCCTCAGAAGTGAAGGAGCAGCTCCATGGAAGAGCACAGACGCTCTAGCAGGAACTTCGCAGCTACTCTCTTCAACATGGTAAATCGCTATACGCTTTGCCCCCCATAGTCACTTTAAGCTTTCTGATGTTTATCTGTTTTTTTTCTGCTTTTCTCATAGTCTTATGTCCATTCAGAATTCCCTTCCCTGCCTGGCTCTTTCAAAATAATAAGCAATTTGAATGATCTGTGTGGTTTGAACCTGCTCTGTGAACACTGGCCATAGGCTCATGATGTCTATTTAGCTTAGATTCCTAGATGCCAGGCACCCTTGCCTAGACAGTGAGATTATGATGTCCATCAGTGACCATGGAGTTAGCCAGAACGCTGTTTGAAATATGGGTCTGGAGCTCAAAAGAGCATTTTGATTGAAGGCCTTGATTTCGGGGAATCACATGCCTGGGAATGACGTGGAAGTTGTGGAAGCATATATATCATTACCAAAAAGAAAATGCTGTGTGAAAAAAGAAAAGAGCCAATGAGAACATGGAGTATCTTATGTATAGGCAGAGGAGAAGAAGACTTCATGGGGGGAAAAGAGCCAGAAGATGAAGAGAAGAAGGGAATTTGATTGACTTAGAGGACTGACTTGTATTATGCTGCAGGCAACCCTTAGCTATCCAGTGGTCAGAAGTGCTCGACCTAAAAGTTCAGGATTTCTCTCCATGTTTCTAGCCCTCTATTTCACTTCTTGGTAACATTACCTTTTGAGGCTGAGAAGTCAGATAAATCCATTTCATTTTGCTTCAAACACTAACCCTGATAAAAAAAGAACTGACTGGATAGGAAAATATCTAAGGTGCAATGTAAAGGTGTTTTATTTTCTTATTTATGGATTGGTATTCATCCTCCTAACAGGGCATTACAATTTTATTTCATTTTATAGTTTCTTGGGATTCTAAGAAACAAACTAGCTTCCAAGTTTAGAAGACCAAGGTGTGTCAGATTGCTTATTATTGCCTAGAAAGGCTTTTCACTGGAGGATACCTTTTTATGTCATCCTGTGGTCCTTTTATTTACACACTTGGCATATAAACCATGGCAGGAAATGGACAACCCTACTGAGGAAAATATATGTCTTCGTTTGTAATAACATTCATTGCCTAACTGCCTTGGCCAGTTTCCATGCTTGTGAGTATATTAATATATCTAAGCTGGCCTCGCCCAGAGACTGTGAAAGGATATAACCATCAATTAACATAGATGTTGGAGGTCATAAATGATTAAGTTCTTCTTTTCTCATTAGTGTTATAAAATCTTCCTCAAGGTTTTGAAAATCATATCCTGTGGGTCAGAATTATGGTGACTTGTCAGGCAAGGTGCATGTCCTGCGATGTGTTTTTAATAAATAACTCATACCAGTTTTCTGCAAAAGCCATTCATCATCAGCTTCTAAAATTAGTAATAAAAAAATTTTCCAGTGCCTTTTAAAAATTCCTTTCTTTTTATCCATTGAACAATGAACCAATTGAATAAAATCAGAAATCCTCCAAAGAAACAACAGACATTGAGATAAATGGAAGTAACAACCATAGAAGTCGTGGCCCCACCCTGGAGTATTAGACCAAGACAACACTCTGCTGGGCACTTCAAATATTTAGTGACAGGCTGTTGGGGGAAGCAGCAAAGGAGAAAGGACTTACGGAGTGCCTACATAAATTCATTATGAGTAACATAAAAACAAGGAACAACAAACTTCGGAAGGCTGCAGGAGGCCTCTGAGGAGGAAGGCTGCTCCATGCCTCATGTTCCAGTGCAGGGTGGCCTCGGCTCTGTTACCATCAACATTGTGCTCAAGGATGTAAAACCCCTTCGTAGCACTATGACGTAGCCAGACTTGTAGGCTCCTTGTAAGGTGCGTGTTCCACCAGCTGTACATAGATAATAAGGTAAAGATAACCACGTGTTCTTGTTTTGTGAAACTCCCAAACCACCACTGTTATCAGTCTTTAGAATGACACACCAGTTCCAGCTCACTGATTCACTTCCGGCTCACTGATTCACTCCACCATCACTCCACCCCACCCTATAGATCAAAAAGATTGTAATCAATAAATAGTGTGGATGAGCAGAGCTCGGGACCTTCACTGCCTCCTCCAAAGCAATAAAGTGATGGCCCCTGGTCCTACTGTCTCTTGTAATCCATCTTTTTCTCATTCCTTTGTTGCCACCAAACTCGGGGTACCCACGGGTGATGTAAGGCTGGCTCCCTACATTCTGGTGCCCAATGTGGGGCTCATGGATCCCTGCACTCTGGCACCCAATGTGTGGGGCTCATGGATTCCCTACAACAGGGACTGTGTTAACTCCTAGCACATTTGCACTGTACTTACTTTGGTACACACTGCCAGCCTCCTACATATTCCCATTCCCATTAAAATCACATTTCCAACATACTTTCTTCTTAGACATTCCCCTCCTGATCCACTGAAGGCCCCCTTTTAAGTGTGAGGCTTCAGCTGACCAGAGGACTCCAGATGTGGCCCAGCTAAAGCGGAGGGCAGCAGCAGGACTCACACTTCCTGTGCTCTAAATATCGCATTTGTTTTCTGAACGAACTGTGTATTAAAACAACTTTTTATTATTTTGTAGATATGAACTTTTTATTATATTTTGTAGAATGAATTGTGTACACTGTCTATACTGCATTGAGAAACATCTTAAAGAACAGGAGTTTCCAGGGCTGGGATAAATTTGAAAGAAATGTTTTTCTATCTGACAAGTTATGGCCAGAGAGAAAGGGTATGAGTGAGATACCTTACCACTCTTAAAAATCAAGAGTAAGCAAGAATGGATGAAGAAATAGAAAGAACTATGGTGAAGAAATTTGAAAGCAGCATGGTATCATGAGTGAGATATGGGCAGAGATGAGTAGAAGCAAACTCAAAGTCACAAAGAGATGGGGTTCTGGAGCACCTCCTTTTCATAACAGCCAGTGCACGTGTTGGGAGTAGGAAACATGGCCTGTAAGGGTAACATGGTAAATGTTCCCAACTGTATTAATCAGGGTTCCCCAGAGAAACAGAACCACTAAGAGACAGATCATCAGATGACAGAGACAGATAGATGAGAGGGATTCATTACGGAAACTGGCTGGCATGGTTATGGAGGCCAAGAGGTCCCATGATATGCCATCAGCAAGCTGGAGAACCAGAAAAGCTGGTGGTATGACTTAGCCCAAGTCTGAAGGCCTGAGAACCAGGAGCGCTGTTGCCTGAGGGCAGGAGAAAATGAAGGTCCCACCTCAAACAAAGGGAATGAATTCACTCTTTCTCTGCCTTTTTATTCTGTTCAGGCCTTCCAACTATTGGATGGTGCCCACACTGGTGAGGGCAGAGCCTCTTTACTTATCCACTGATTCAAATGCTAAGCTTTTCTGGAAACACCCTTAGAGATACTCCCAGAAACAGTGTTTTCCCTGCTACCTGGGCATCCCTTAACCCAGTCAAGTAGACAGATAACATTAATCATCATACTGAAGAAATCAGCTGAAGTATTTACAGGCGTCCTCTTCACTGATAGTTGCCAAATACCATGATGGTTTTGATGGGCTTCATATAAAACATTTGATCCTAAGTGATCCAGTCATTAGTGTTACTCAGAAATTATGTCTGGCTTTCATTTTCTAGACATCGAACTTCACTTCCCCCTTGGAAGCTAGATTCGGCCATGTGATTAGCTGCAGCTAATGTTTGTGAGTGCAAGCCTTACAAATTGATGTGCAGATTGCTACATCCCCTCCCCACTGCCAAATGATGGTGAAAGCATTTGTCAAGATGATGCCTCTTGAGTCTCCATATCTTTCTTCTGACTTGCTCTGGACATATAGTATAATTGAGCAAACTAGACCATTTTGAGAGTAAAAGGGACAACAGGCACAATTTGAAAATGTATGGTTATCCTAGGGAAACGTTATGTTAAGCCACTGAGACCTGGGGGGTGTTTTTTTCTGCAGCATAACCCAGTCTATCCTGATTGATATATCAATGCATGTATAAAAATCCTCAAGAACCCATTCGTAGAAGTGCAACAAATGACTCATGTTGCACTCTAACTGTGTGAGCTTGATAAGAAAATGGACTCTACCATCTAGGCCTAAGGTGAGTCAGCTACATTGACGCTGACAAGTGAGTAACCTGCTGGGATCCAGAGCTCTTGGCTTCCAACTGAAAGCTTTTCTTCAGATCTTTCCAAGGAAATGTTACCGAGGAGCTACATTTAGGACAAAAGCTGCTGACGTGAGAAAAGGGTTAGTATCGCCCAGAAAGACTAGCCTCAGTCTTGTGTGTGTGACCCTATCTGCTTAAGGGTATGGCATCAAGTGTTCACCGTGGAGCAGCTCGAGGCAACCTACAGCGTTTGATTTGACCAGCAGAGTACTGTAGACCAAACATGAGCTTGCATGCCTTTCGATTGAGCAAGCACTCTCAGGTTGGCCATTGCCCTCTGTTTCTTCCTGTCATTTGCTCCTGCTCTTTTCCACTTCCTCACTTCAGTTACATTACCCGCCTGGCTTCTGAAGGCGTTTGAGTTTGGAACTCTGCAGAGAAGCATTGCGCCTGAAAAGGAAAGCACAGCAGCCTGTGTGGATGGAAACAGGACACTTCACCGCTGCAGTGTTCCTTCCGTAAGTCCATAACCCCAGTCTATTCGTGAGGATAATAATCAGACAAGTCTAGATTAGGAGACATCCTACAGGATAACTGGATAGTATTCCTAAAGCCTATCAAGGTCATGAAAAGCCAGGAAAGACCGAAGACTGTCAGAGGCTAGAAGCAAATGGAGAGACATGACAACGAAATGCATGGTAGTGTCCTGGGTCAGACACTGGAATAGTAACAGGCCGTCAACAGGAACACTGGTGAAGTCTGAAGGATGTCTGGATTCAGTTAACAGTTATGTACCAACAATGGGCTCTCCGTTCTGACAAAGGTACCATGGTAATGTAAGATGTTAACAATACAAGGAACTGGGTGAGGGGTATACAGGAACTCTCTGTTGCTTACATGTGCAACTTTTCTGGAAATCTAAAATTATTCCAAAATAAAAATTGTTTAAATCCTTGTTTGTATAGTGATGAAAAAAGGAATAAGCCCATGGAGAGCCCATTTCTTCCCTTCTCACCACATTCCAGATACTTGAGATGCAGTCATTCTTTGCTTACATGTCTCCAGACCTGCATGGGACTCCTCTAGGTCTCCATCTTCCAAATGGAGACCATGCCACCATTATAGTCCACCTAGGCCCTTGTGGTCACCAAAAGGAGGCTGTTTACAAGCTCATGTGGACAGGGCTTGGATAGGCAAGCTAGTGTGCCTATGTGCAGGAAGCTCCTTGTGGGGTCGGATGAAGCCAGGGAATGGGAAAAGAAGGCAGGTGAGCTACCAATGGGGATCCCTAGCTGTCCCAGGTCATCACATTCTGGGGAGAACTCAGAGAAGTCCAAGAAGGCTGCAGCTGATCCTAGCCTCTCATATCTTTACACAGACATATTTACGAAAGTAGGAGACAGAACATATTAATTCATCGGTCTTTTGGCTTGATGTAAAAGTTTTAGGTATCCAGACATATGGTGCGTGGGCCTCCACTGGTATCTGAGTGAGAAGACACATGGGCCAGATGCTGTGAATCTCTCTTCACACCTGCTAGAAGCGGTGCTCAGGGCTGTTGCCCTTCACCTTGCTTTGCAATGTGTATTTCTTAGTAGAAGTTGCAGAAGCCCAATCAAACAAGCAGAACATGGCACAGCAGCCTCAGGACAGAATTCACCATCCCCCTACCAGACACCGCATCCCAGAGCAGGAGATGTCACCCAAGTAGGGATAAAGGATATCGTAGCTTTCTTTACAAAAGATCCACATGTCAAAATACATGTGGTTGGCTTTAAACACAACGAGAAAGACACAAAAGGATCACAGTTGAAGTCTTATGGGAAAAATGACCAGAATCAATGCTGAAATTTTAGCAAGGAGCAGGCATAACCTTTGTTCTACTAGAACTGGGGAAGTATGTATATGTGTGTGTTGAAGAGATGAGGACCAGTCCATTCCGAGGTCAGATCTGCCCTGCAAGCCAGGCTGCTGTGCCCCACATTTCAGAATAAGGCATCAGGCCCCACCCAGGGAACAGCATCTGGGGTCACTAGTGTGGCCTTCACCACAACAGACACCCTTTAAACAAACATAAGATATAAAGTTACAGAAAGCATATATTTATAAACAATAAGTATGTAAACATAATAAAATTTAAATAAATATGCATAAATAGAATACGTATTTTATAAAAAGGAAGCCTGGAGAAGGCACACAGCTTTCCTAACACACGTATTGCCCAGGCGGGCCAGGCATTTCCAGCTGCCTCCCGTACCCCGCCACTAGGGGAAGCGGGCGTCCCTGCACTTCCTGTGGTGGTGGTGGTTATTCTCTAAGATGTTTTAAAGGCCCCACTTCATCCTCTTTTTCATTTCTTCCCTGCTCCTGCCCACAGAGCCTAGAGCAAGGGGAAATGGAAACAATCAGAGAAGGCATCTTTTCTCCTAACAGTAGGTTCTCACTGAGGCATCACCCACCCCCACGGATTCTGATTCAGTTGGTCTAACTAGGATATAGTCTGGGCATCAGGAGTTTTAAAGTTCTTCACATTGTTCTGCTGTTCTAACACCCCCACTCCTGGGAAGAGGTTTTCTGTTTTAGGTTCCCAAATTGCCATGCCACTGAGACTTCATTCAGGAGAAATACATCCGTGGGCATCCTTTCAGCAGCACTGGGCTAATCCATGCCGTAAATGTAGACACAATAATGGTGAGCTTGGACTTCCATAGACACATAATACTCTCCCCCATTGCTTGCTGTTAACGCCATTTTTGGCACAGATAAAAATCAATATAAAAATAGCTTACTGCGAGGGCTGGAACTTAAATACATAAATGATTACGCTATTTTTTAAAAACACAGCTTTCAGCAATAATTTGTTTCAAGACCTTAAAATGTGCTAAGGAAATATTTTTAATTGTAAAATTATGATATTTATTCTCAATAACTATGAGTCTTTTCATTTGCACAGAGGTCCTTTGCATATGAATCTGAAGGTACCTAGCCTTTGTTTCCCCCCCCCCCACCCACCAAAAGGATGTAAGGAGTCTCGAAGGGTAGACTCAGCTCCTCAGAATCCTCTTCACTCATCACTTGTCCTGATGCCAAAGCAGGCAAAGCCCCAGGAGCAGCTCCAGAACCTCTGTGAGAGCCTCAGTCCTAATGCTGATAGCCTGGTGGCACAGACCGCCTGCTAGGCCCATGTCTCCTGCCCCCACTGAACTTTACTTTTCCTCTTTGTTAAAAGAAAGAGAAATAATACAGAAAATAATTTGAAAAAGGAAATGAACTGTCACTGGTAATAGTCTCTGCCTCTACATGGGGAACTAAGAGAGTTAATCTAATGGGTAAAAAAAAAAACAAGGGATGGGTCTGAGTGCAGTGGCTCATGCCGCTAATCCCAGCACTTTTGGAGGCCAAGATGGGAGGATCACTTGAGCTCAGGAGTTGGAAATAAGCTGGACAACATAGAAAGACCTCGTCTCTACAAATAAAAAACTTAGCTGGGCGTGGTGGCACACTGCACACCTGTGGTCCGAGCTACTCAGGAGGCTGAAGTCGGAGGATCACTTGAGTCTCTTCACCGATCACTTGTCCTGAGGCCACTGCAGGTTGAGGCTGCAATGAGCTGTGATCGTGCCGCTGCACTCTAGCCTGGGTGACAGAGTGAGACCTTGTTTCAAAAAAAGGAGGGGAGGTAGCATGGTTTGGTAACAAGGAAGAGGTTAAGCGTCATTGCAATCATAGTATAAGACCATTCAATAGGCTGTTTTTCAGTTAATAATGTCATTTGCTCTTTGACTAGTGATTGAGAAACAATCATTTTCTACTTCACTGGTGATAAGTCAATATTTTTATTACAAAAAGTGACTGCTTTCTTCTTCTTTATTTTGCCTAAATGAAATTCTTAATTGATTAGCATTTAACAATGTAAAGCATTCACACAGAAGTGTTAGGAAGACATCTCTCCCTCGGCTCAGAACCATATGGGCTTAAGAGGGTGTTGCCTCAGTGTGGAAGCCGTTCTACAGCACGGGCACTTTGCTGCTGCTGTCGGATCCTGTCATGCACCTGCTGCAGACAGCCACGCAGAGTCCTCAGAAACCTCTGAAGCGGGGGAGAGATGATCATTGTCAAACACTCTACATAAATCCTCAAAACAACTCTGGAGTTTGTCCAAAAACAAAATCTCAGCAAGTTTAGTTTAAAGGTATAATTGGTGGGAACACACTGTGAGGACAGAAATAGTATATGGATTACCCATCATTCAAACAGAATTTTTAAAAAAGATATAGTTTGGCTTTTTTTTGCCAAATGTGGGTGAAGGGGAGAAGAAAAGCAAAGCACACTGCCATGTGTGTACCTACGCAACTGTCTTGCATGCTCTGCTCATGTACCCCAAAACCTATAATCCAATAAAAAATTAAAAAAAAAAAAAAAAGATATAGTTTGGCTTTTTTAGTCATTCATGAATCAGAAACAGCGTATCTCAAGATTTAGAAAGGTGCTCCAGTGAGCTGCGCAGAAGAGGTGGCCTTCATAGGCAGAAAAGACTGATGAAAGCAAAAACAAGGAACAGAAAGCAAACTGGTCATTACAAAGCTGCTTTCCTTATAGAATTAAGACAGTGGGGACCTCCTTATTATGCTGGCTCAGATAGACTGGGTCCCTGACTGGTTGATGTGAATCTCCCGTTTTTGGGAAAACAGGCTCATTTTAAAGTGCAGTTTGATTATGTGGCACCTAGCACAAGTGACTGTGCTCTGCTTTGCTGGGGCCTGAAGCAAGAGTTCAGTCCAAAACAATGGCCTCCCAAAAATGTAACAAGTTATAACTGTTTCCATTTCACAGATTGGCATATCAGGCCAGTGAACAAAGGCAGAGAGAAAAATGAAGGGCAATAAATACAACATTCTGTCAGGGAAATAGATGGGTTAGGTTTTCAACAGAGCTTTCATCTATTTTAGTTTGAATTATAACTTCTGTGGAGAGCAGTTTGGCACTACCTATCAAAATCTAACTATGCATACCCATAACACGACAATTCCACATACTAGGATTTAGCCCACAGATACACATGCACCTACAAGATGTGCATGTCTATCATATCCATCTTAGCAGTGTTGAAATAATAAATCTTGGAAGTCTGCTATCACCGAGTGCCAATAATAGACTGGTGAAATCCATTTAAGGCACATCCCAGCCATTAAAACTGAGGTCACTCTTTGGCCCTGTGATATTTTTATTGAGCCATCAATGAGTGGCACACAGGTTTTTCCTTTTTCTCTCCTCTGAGCACAGCTGGCAATTCCAAGTGATAGGTGCTCTGATGAGAAAGGACAAGAGGCCACAGGTCCATTGATGGCAGGATCTAAACCAAGGTCTAGAGGAGTTTAGGAAGTCTTCCAGGATTAAGTTAAGTCCAGGAAGTCTTCCAGGATGTGCTTCTTAAAGGGTTTAAAACTTTATGTAGAGGCCCGAAAACTGAGTAAGAGTTAGCCAGGCAAACAGAAAAAGGCAACATATTCTAATCAATGAGAACAGGGAAGGTAAAGGCCCAGAGTTGCAAGAGAGTCACCACGTTAGAAAAACTGATTGAAATTCAGTATGGCTGGATTTATGGAGTGCAAGGAGCTGGGGTATAATGAGAGAGAATGTATCTGGAGACAAGCAGATACCAGATCATGAAAGTCACGACTCTATTCCCAATTCCTTCTTCCATTCATTCATTCATACATCTACACACTGCATCCCTCTCATCATCCACCCACCCATCTATCATCTGTCACCCAGCCAACAAAAAATATAGTAGTTCTCTGCTTATTAGGGTTACATGAAGAACCTCGATATCTTAAAGTGCAGGCTGTATCCCAGACCAGTTAAATAAGAATCTCTCGGGGTGAGACCCAGGCATCAGTATTTTTCAAATCCCCCCAAGAGATTCTCACGTGTAGCCAATAACAAGTTACCTGATACACTCTCAGGTTAGCCTTGGTCTTGCAAGTAACTGCCCTACTTTCCCTTACTGCTCTGCGTCCTGGCTTCTCAATCCCAGGCCCATGAGTTTTATAGAACCGGTCATTTAATCCAGGCCATCAGTGGTTTATAGGACACCATTGTGCAAATTAGAACAAGTACTTCTTCCTCAAGACACATTGCTTCATTCTGTTTGAAATTGTCTTCATATTGTATATTGCTTATACTAGAACAAATCCGCCCATCTGTCATAAAACTGTTGTATTCCACACACAAATCAACAATGTCTGCTATACAAATAGAGACTCGTAGGTGCAGCCTGGTGCAGTGTACAACCTGCACAACTGTACATGGTAACCCTCCTTTAGTGGAGGGAGGTATGTGGTTTCAACTCCCCAGGTATTTTATTGATCCTAAGCCACTTATTCTTTGGCTCCTTTACAGTCAGGATGCTCTATAAATAAGGAGAATGTATGTCCAAAGTTCAAATGACTACTCTTGGTGCTGAGGAAGGTTTTTGTTTTATTGATTAGTGAATTTATTTAAACAAGAAGTCCTATTAAAGGCATAAAAGTTAAATCCCAGTTTTTTTAATGAGTCATCTTTATTTTTAAAACAATTATGTTGTATAAAATTGGAACTGTTCTGGAAAATCTGAGAAGGATGCCTGCGGAACTCTAACTTCCAATCTGAAATTCTCCAACCCAATCTTCAGCCACCATGATGGGACATTTCTGCCCCAGTCTGCTCTCTTTGCCTAGAGGGTTCCTTGCAATTTGGAGGCACTGGTGACTGTGATGTTTCCAGCTGGGACATGAGAGGTGCACAGGGCACTGTCCCTGTGGGCTATCCCTCCAATGCCTCTCATGCAGAGATGGCTGCTACAGAGGGAATGACTGTGTGGTCCAGTCTCTCTGTCTCTTACTAACCCTTTTAGGGACTGCCATGTACTGTTTCCCCTTACTGCTGTGCACCTGAGTTCACTGATGGCTGAGGAGGGACAAAACTGCCAAGAGTGGCAATGGTCCCCAAAAGCACATGGAGCATTTGTCCCACAGATGATCAGGAGGAAGGGAGATGCACCTTCAGATGAGGAGGAGCCGTGTTGAGCTGGAAAACACCGCTTGTAAACTGCAGCAGGGCATCTGCATCCCACCCGTGGAAGACAGAAGAAGGACTATCAGGAAACAGTAGTGAAAGCCATCTTTGTCCCCAGGGAACTATCAT